GGATCCAGTACCATCCAGGTATCCCAGTTACCCTGCTCACAGGGTCTAGTTCTTGTTTAAAATGTCGTACACGGTCCACGTAGATGAAAAACCCGTCATAAATCTAGCATTAAACGGTTTCTTTAGTATGGGGAGTCTCCAAGTAAATATTGGCCCAAGTTTTTAGAGCTATTATCCAGGTTAAATACAACATCAATAACCTTGAAGCTTGGTTCTATGAGCTTGAAGCTTGAAACTCAAGCTTGCCATCTTCCTGAAACGCACGACTTCCTTGCATTATTACAACCATATTTAGATTGAAGTCAAAGAAAACAACTCACTCATTTATTCACTTTATCTCTCACTCGCTCGCTCGCTCACTCACTCGTTCACCCATTCAGAAACCAAAAGACTACCATGGTTTTTATCAACCTCAACCCTGCGCTTATTTCCAATTTGAACATCACAAGAATCACGTCCATACATGTCCCTGATGGTATCGACTGTAGATTAGCCTGTTTAAAAACGAATTCATGTTTTTCGTATAACCTGGCTGTACTTCCTAGTGTCAACGCAAAGCTGCTCTGTGAGCTGTTTCCATACCACAAATATAACAACTTTGGATAAATTGATCTACAGTCTGATTTATAATCATTTCAATGTTCCGTTAAGATCAAATGATTTGACAAAGATTTGAGAATACTGAGATCAAAGATGGAAAGAAACGTTTTCTGCGTGTTATATCTTATTTGAATTCAAACTTGAGAAAATAAATAATTATATAGTTCCGTGCTAATTTCATCTGCCCACCTTCCCTAATTTTGCATTCGGTGTAATTCAGTTCTTTCATCAGTTTTGTCTAACTTTAGTTTCCACCAGTCACAGACCATCAAATGATAGACTCGTTTAATAAATAATGAGTCCATGATGTTGTTTCATATTGTTGATATGTGGCTCAATGCTACTTCATGCAACTGACACGTAGTTTCCTCTACACAGAACTCTTGCTCCAACAATCCTTATCGGAACGGTTCAACTTGTGCGGCTAAGCGTGTGGATGACGATTATAAGTGCACATGTACACCAGGATTTAAAGGAAAGAACTGCCGTAAAGCTATAAGTACCTAAATGTTTACACGCTCTCAACGTATAACTATCACTACCATTCAAACTGTCAGCTTTATAAATTCTCTACGGTGACCAGTTTACGTTATGAACTCGTTGATAAAACTCAGCAAATTATTTGTACAATACGTACTCAGATGTAGAATACTTAAACATCAAAATCTTGCCGACCTCATCTCTCTTACCTGGTATGATTCGGCGTAAAGCGAGTCCAGAAAATCGCGCAAGAAAGTTACAAAGGACGCCAAAATAGGCAGAATACGGCGAGAGGAACACGAAAGAGAACAATAACGGGCATAAGTAAAAAGGCGAGTCTCTAGCGAAGAGCAACGCGAGGAGGAAATACAAAGTCGCTTCTGAAAACAGACTGAAAAGAGGTCATCAACAAAGAGAAGCGAACTGCAAAGGATCCGCGAAAGAAGAGAAGGTAAGTCGTGTCCTATCTGGGTTTTCTCTTACGGTTAGACCCGGAAAAAATTCAAACTTTTTTTTTCCAATCGTCGTTTGATACTAGCTTCAGTTTTGAGATTCAACTGATCACGTTTCGGTTAAACATTGACTCTGGCATTCATCGCCTAAAAACTCTTACGCCGGTTCATCGCTCGAATAATATTGCATAGTGTTCGTATTCTTCAAGTTATTTCTTGTCCTTTCGTTTGAAAGTTTAGTACAGTCGTGGTGGTATAGGAAAACAAGTTATCTTACTTATTTTGTTTTGCCTAGAAAGTTTTCAAATGATGTCGAACGGCGAGCGCAAGTTTCTACTTTTTTTTTCTCTTCAGTTAATTATCGCAGGATTTACTCTGTTCATTTGAAAAATCTGCGCTTTGCCGAAGATGTGTTGTTTTATCCTAAGAACGAAGTAATGGTCTTTCTAAAAATTAAAATAAAATGGGATTGAGTGAGCGATGTTCATGTTTATATTAAGTCTAACGCGGTAATTTGATTTTGACGATATTGTCATGTGAGAACCCGTCAAACATCTGAGAATCACATTACGGAACGCAAATGTGTGGTGCAAACAAACTCACGGGTCAAATGGAGATGGTTCTACAATGGGATGAGCGAATTTAATTGTTTGGTTGTCGTACTTTTCAGCGCTATGTTTTCATGCTTTCTACTCGATTCGTTCGAACTTCAGGAAATGGTTTGTGTCACAAAACATGGAGCCACTTTCTCTTCGCTCAACATCTCGAGGCGTTATAATGAACATGCTTGCGATACGATATTTTTTTTTCCTTATGCTGGAAACTGAAGAATTAGTCTCTAAAATTGGTAGTCTTCACATTTTGCAAGAAGCGTCTGATCTGTTTTCGTGCAATTAAACGGGGTTCTGGCAATTTGACCTCACAAGCGCGCTGGTAAGCACATGGTTCGCGTAAATAATTGTTGTTTACAGTTATCGAATTCAAGAGCAGTTTTTGAGAGTCTGTTTCTGTAACCTTCCTGTTAAATTCCTTGAGGGTTAGTCTCGGATCTATCATTCATAAGTGATTATGAATGATAGATTCGTACCGGCACCATAATTTAGGGAAATTTTGTCAACATATTAACAGTTTACCATTCGCGAACTATTTCTGTAACCTACTTGGATATTCTCTCTTGGAGTAATTGAGTCACACCCTCGGAATTTCATTAGTAATTAAGAACGATAAATCCGTATATATAGCACAAGTGAAGCACATTTTAAACTTTCATACGATTGTAGGAAACTATACTTTATTAACTCTCGATAAATTG